TCTGAATGTATTGTGCAGCCATGCGGTGATATTTGGGGTCCCCCCCCCAGCCCCTCCCTCTGAATGTATTGTGCAGCCATGCGGTGATATCTGGGGTCCCTCCGCCTCAATGTCACACACTGACACCCCCGGGAGCAGCACACGATGGAGGTTCTCATGTTATCACAGACATCATCCGCCGTTTGTTCCCCCGCAGCCGCTGATATCGTTGCCTCTCTTCGTGGACGGCCAATTGTTGCCGCGTCCGGTGGAGGACATACTGGTCGCCGGGGAGATGAACGCCGTTCCCTTCATGATGGGGATCAGCGAGCAGGAATTTGGGTGGATGATCCCGCAGGTGAGCAAAGTCCATGGAAGGGACCCCCAAAAATCCCGAGAAGGAAGATATGAATCACACGTGGACACCTCTGTATTCCCGGTGTTAAAGAGGACCTGTCATTGGGTAGAATTGGTCGGACACATTTTGAGCCCCGAGAGTCGTATCCCCTTCTCTTGCTTTGGATCCTTTAAAATCAAATAAAAGCAAAAAGCCAAGTCTGACCCCCAAATATCTCCTGATGTCATCACTGGGTCTCTGTGTCTCTCTATGCAATGCAGGCAGATCACAGCTGGTGGGAGGGGCTGTACATAGCTTCCTGAAAACATCACAGTGCCCTGCCTCAGTAATGCTTTCAAGAGTCCTCAGCCCTGATGCGAGCAGGAAGGGGCCGGCTCTTGGGAGGAGTTATGCAAATATTAAAATGTCTTGGTGGGTGTTAGTCTGGAGGAGTGGGCGTTTCTAGGCAGGCTGCATTTGCATACAGACCGCCCACATGTGATGTTGAGCCTCCATGATTGAAAGAGCTGAAACCCAATCAGTGAAGGAGGCGGGGCCAGGGACAGGGACATAATGATGGGAAGTTTTCAATAATCGGCATCTTTTCTTTTAATTTTTTTGGTCTGCTGACCAGTCTGTGAATGTGACGGGATTGGCTGATGGAATGGACAGAGAAACGGCAGAACGCAACTTGCGCAGCTTCCCGCAACTGGTAACGCGAACAACGTTTTATTATTCTGTCATTGTCAGGAATCTGATCGTATCACATGACGTAAAACCAATATAGAGATGGTGCCGGCCTTCAGATAACTGTCCCTGATTGGTCTTTCCTGTAAAGGGAACTGCCAGCAGGAGATGACAGCCCGGGATTATTACCATCAGTCTCTGTACAGAGGAGCTTACACTCTAATGTCCCCTCCCCCCCCCCACAGTCACATCAGTCTCTGTACAGAGGAGCTTACACTCTAATGTCCCCCCTTCCTCTCTTCCTCTTCTTTCCTCCTCCTCTCCTCTTCCTCTCTTCTTCTTCTTCCTCTTCTCTTCCTCTCTTCTTCCTCTCCTCCTCTCCTCTTCCTCTTCTTTCCTCCTCCTCCTCCTCCCCTCTTCCTCTCCTCCTCTTCCTCTCCTCCTCTTCCTCTCCTCCTCTTCCTCTCCTCTTCCTCTCCTCCCCCCTCCTCCCTCCCCCTTCCTCTCTCCCTCCGTATCTCTCTCTTCTTCATTCTCTCTCTATCTCTCTCCTCTCTTCTTCATTATCTCCTCTCTCTACTTATTTTCTCTCTCTCTCTCTCCTCTTCATTCTCTCCTCTCTCTCCTTATTTTATCTCTCTCTCCCCTCTCTCCTTATTCTCTCTCTCTCTCGATCTCTCTTCTTCATTCTCTCTTATCTCTCTCCTCTCTCCTTCATTCTCTCTCTCTCTTTCCTTCAGTCTCTCCCCTCCCTCTATCTCTCCTCTCTCTCTGCATCTCTCTATCCTCTCTCTTCTTCATCCTCTCTCTCCCTCTCTCTTCCTCTCTCCCTCTGTATCTCTCTCTTCCTCTCTCCCTCTGTATCTCTCTCTTCTCTCTTCTTCATTCTCTCTCTACTCTCTCTTCTTCATTCTCTCTCT